CCCGCCGTGGCCGGCCACCGTCGTCCATCACTGTCCACAGGTTTTCCTTCGTTCTAAACCCTTAGGGTTTCTGGTTCCTTCGCTAGTACTATTTGTCTCTTCAGAGATGCGTCTGCAGTACTCTTCCTTCTCTGGAAAGTCCATTCAATTACCTCCGAGAAGCTAAATGGAAAAAATTATCTATCATGGTTGCGGCTGTTGAAATGTGGTTCCTGGCCAAGGGCATATGACCACCTTTGGCGAGATGGCAGCAGTGCCTACTGACAAAGCTGATCAGTGGATAACAAGCAGATTTCCAGTGTGTAACCCTTGAGGCAATCGATGTGGACCCAAACTCTTGTATCTTGAGGCTTTCAAAAAACTTTGCGTCATCCTTTGGAAGAAAGCCAAAGCATTTATGCCAACGATATTCAACGTCTCTATGACACTACGAACAAGCTTGCATCTCTTAAAATGGCAGACCATGATATGGTGTCCTTCATGGCTAAAGCCCAATCTGCTGTCGGAGAACTTAGGATGTTTTTGGAAGTAGATCCATTAGAGGATATCAAAAAGAAACTAGACAAATTTTACATGGTGTTGATCTTGTGCCCTACAAAAACCCCGATTTGATATCTCCGAGATCAAACTTCTAACGAGTCATGAGGTTCCTCTATGGAAACATTGACCACTCGCCTTCGCGTGTCCCGATATCTCAAACTCAAGAAGCGCATGAACTAGTGGAACCATTGTCATGGTTGCCAAAAGAGAAGAGGGGACGTGCACTAGATGGGACGGAGGACGAGGAGGTCGGGGACGTTCTCAATGCACATATGTAAAGGATGGGTCATACTCAAGAGAATTGCTACTCTTTACATGGTTTCCTGCCAAAACGCCAAATTTCGACAGACTGAAACTCCACTTCGAAAAGAAACCTCCAACTTCTTATGTTTTCTGAGGAGGACTATCACGAGTATTAGGTTTAAAGTCTAACAGCTGGCACAACATCTCAATCTCCCAATACATCAACAGCCTGCGTTTCTCAATCTATGGAAGGTCAAAATTCATGGGTAATTGACTCAGGTGCTTCTGATAACATTTCTGATAATACCTCTTTGTTCTCATCTATTTCCTTTCGAGAAAACGCATTTCATAACCTTGCAAATGGATCTAAAAATCTCCAAAGGAGTCGGTCATGTTCTTGTCTCCTCCCTCAATCTCAACTCGTCCTTTTTGTCCCTAATTTGTCCTTTTAATTAGATTTCCTTAAGCCAATTGACTAAAATGTTAACTTGTTCAATAACTTTGATCATAAATCTTTGTTATACAGGAGCGTGGTTCGGGAGACAGATTGGAGAAGGTATATGAAGCTGGCGGATTCTTACCATTGTGGATCTCGTCCAAGGGGGTCTGTGTTGCTGACCTAATCCTAAAGTGCTACATGATCGACTTGGCCATACCTCTTTGCCAAATAAAAAAAGATGGTTGAACTTATGGTCTCCAAACTTAGAATGTGAGTCATGTAAATTAGAAAAAATGTTAGATGTCCTTTCCTAAAAGGTTCAACAATTAGGTAATTCTAGTTTTTCCATCATCCATTCTGATATATGGGGACCTGTCGTATCTCTCCTTGGTTTTAGATATTTTGTACCTTTATTGATGAATATTTCAAGTATGTACTGGGTTTATCTTATGAAACAAATCGTTCTAAATTGTTTATCTTTACATCTTTTGAATGAAACAAGAATCAATTTGGTCAAGTAATCAAAATATTAAGAACTGAGTAATGCAAAACAAGTATTTCTCATACTCCTTTTATGCCATCTTGAGTTCCCATGGTATCTTAACATCATGTCTACTTGTCCTCATACACCACAGCCAAATGGTATCGCAGAACGGAAAAAATAGGACACTTGGTAGAAAATGCATATAACCTTTTGCTGTGGTGGCCCATATTCCGGTCCATCACTGGGGGGGTAATTTAACTTCATGTTATCTTATTAATAGGAGGCCCTTCCTCTCGTGATAAGTAAAGTCCCTTTCTCAATTTTGTTTCCTAATGATCCTTTTCTTCATACAGTCTCCCAGATGTGGGCTGTGTATGTTTTGTCTGACATGTCCAGGTCTAGAACAAAATCTCCGCTCGCGCTCTCAAATGGTCTTCTTAGGCTATTCTTGACTTCAAAAAGGATGATCTGGGTTACCTCTCCTGAACTAAGAATATTACATGTCCTGACAATGTCAAATTCTTTGACAGACTCCTTACTTCTCTCCAATCGGTTTCAGGATGTTTTCTATCCTCCAACAAGTCCTTCCCATCCAATGGCGAGTTCAAATAGCTCATTTGTCTCTGTCTCCAAAGTCTTGATCACAATCCTTCTACACCTGTTTCTCCACATACTGAGATCATCCCACACAGGGCCTCAATGGATAGTCCACCTCCCCAAGAAAATGGTGAATCTCCTACTTCAGATTCTTCTCCCTCGTCACCTCCTCCCACGTCTCCTGGTGCAAATGATTCAGCATGGCCTATTGCCCTAAGGAAAAGGACTCGTTCACTCGGAACCCTCATCCCATTTATAATTTTCTAAAGCATCATCGATGTCGCCCTCCTATTTTCTCTTTTTATCCTCAGTGTCCTCTGGTTGTTATACCCAAGAATGGAAAGAAACGCAATTGATCATCCGGATGGCGACAAGACCTATGATTGCAGAAATGCAGGCTCTTGACCTACAGTAATACTTGGGAGCTGGTGCCACTTCCCCCAGCGAAAAAAGGCGGTTGGTTGTCGATGGGTGTATGCAGTAAAGTTGGCCTGTGTTGAAATTTGACGGCTCAAAGCTCGGCTTGTTGCCAAAGGTTCCAATAAGGTTTATGGTCTGATTATGGTGACAATCTCTCCTAGCCAAGATGACTACATTCGGTCTCTTCTTGACCATGCCAGCCATTCGTCACTGGCACTTCACAAGTGGATATCAAAGAATGCCTTCCACATGGTGATTTGAGGAAGAAGTTTACTTTTATGGGAGCAACCTCGGGGTTTGTGCTCAGGGGCGGCGTCATGGATGGGATGGCAATGCCCATTCTCTATATGGCCTAAGGCAATCCCCACGTGCTTGGTGTAAAGTTTAGCCTCCATTGTTCAAAATTTGGGCTAAAAGCAGCTGAAGCAGACCATTAGTTGTTATTGTCAGTCTTCTCTCGGAATGTGTTGTACTTAATAGTATATGTTGATGATAGTGTCATAACAGGAAATGATGCTGGTGGAATATCTTCAACTAAAGGTACTTGTGTAGAATTCAAACCAAGGATCTGGAAGTCTCAAATACTTTTTAGGCATTGAAGTAGCGCAATCAAAAGATGGAGTTGTAATCTACCAAAGGAAGATGCTCTGATATATTAAACCAAGAAACAGGCATGATGATTGTTAGACCGGTGACAGTCCCATGACCCAACCAGAAAAAAGGACAGAAGAGGTGAATTATTCTCGATCCAAAGAGGATAGGAGGCTGGTGGCAAACTGTTTATCTCACTATTACAAGGCCAGTCTATCCTTTGCAGTTGGAGTGGTTAGTCAGTTCATGCAGGCTCAATGTGTTGACCATGGATGCCTCTCATTCGCATTCTATAGGTATGTAAAGAAGGCTCCCGGGCAAGGTTGTTATTATGAGATAAAGGAAGCATCATGTCTCGGGTATGGGATGCAGATGGGCAGATTCACCTATTGATAGACGGTCTACAAATTTAGGATAGGTGTGTTTCTGGGAGGACACATTATTTCATGGAAAAGTAAGGAAACAGAATGTAGAGCTCGAGCAAGCCGCGGAAGCGATATAGGCAATGACCTCATTAACATGTGAAATTATAATGGTGAAACAATTACTGAAAGAGCTTAAATTTTGTGACATCCATAACTATGACGATGGGATTGAAGACATCAAGCTGCTCTTCCACATTGCATCAAATCCAGTGATTTCACGAGAGGGACTAAACATATGAGAATGATTGTCATTTGGCGTGAAAAGTTGTGACCACAAGAAATATGTAGAGTTGTATTGGTCAACGATAACTGCGAGTATTGACTAAGTCAGAAGGGTTCACGGAGTGAGTTTATTGTTCCAAGCTTGAGTTACATACAATTGTATGCTCCAGCTGGAGGAGGGAGTGTTAGGATATTATAATATTTATCATCATATAGTGTGTCAAGGGGTACCCATTTATGCATGATTATATTGGTCTAGATTACACCTATTATCATGATTATATGTGGTCTAAAAAAAAAATCTCTTTAATCTATCCCTATTATGTATTTGTTTTTATCACTCATCTTATCCAAAGTTTACTATTTTATAGAACCAAAGTTATCTTCCTTATGTGGTGCTAAATAGTCGACATGTCAACTACAGCGCTTAATTATAATTATTTCACTAAAAGGTAACTAATCTAGTCAGTAATATCAAATTTATCTGTAATTATAATATTTTTTTTCAAAACTACTTATAAATAATTAATACTAGTAAAAAATAATAAGTAAATTTTTAAAGTCGAAGTCCTGAACTCTCCATAGCTTCGAAGGAGAAAAAAAGAGACATTTTCATAACATCTAAATTAATTTAAAATGTTTGGTTCAAAAAATAATTCATACGAGATAGTTAAAAACTCTTATAAGAAAACAATAAAATTTAATGCAGATGAAATAAATATTAGTCACTTCATTTTAGAACTTATAGTCAACTTTCACTCAACCCAAATCGTCAAAGAACCATATTTCCTTGGTAAGAGCGTTCATTGTCTATGGAGAGATTAGGGAACGGAGAAACTTGTCAAAATTCTTGACATTGGGAGCGTTTTTCAGTTCATATCAATTGATTAGCTGAATGCTTTGATTTAGACACTTTTGCATTAACTTGGTGCACCAAGTGAATCCAGCATAGCGTACAAATAAAAGAACAAGTATCACATATATAGAGATTTAAAAGAACAAAGAACTTTATAGTTTATTTGAACATGTTGAATGTTGCAAACAATAAACGTAACGCAATATACAATATACAACTGTCACACTACCTGCATACAATACAATACATTTGCACACATGCGCGAACCCATTACTTAAAAAGGGTCAAATTTCTGACCTTAATCAAACTACAGAGAATAAAAGAATAATAATTACAGGGGCTAATGCATGCTTATACACAAAAGGTGAGCTTGTCACTATAGTGGATAAGAGTGCATCCAGTCTTAACTAACTAAAACATGGTTTGTTCCTTAGTTAATGAGCATGTGCTACAAAACTTAAAAAACGAAAGAACGTTTACCTTCTAAATCTCTCTTTGATTGCTTGCATTGTGCATTTATTTACTTCCTTCACAACAATAATATAAGAGGTGATTAGTAGACGGTTACAACAGAAGTGTGGATGTAATGATCTTGAAACATTAAGCAGAACACATGGAAGCCCTTTGCCTTGAGAGTAACCCCTTTAGTTTCTTTATAAGCTGGGGATTGGAGCCCATATAGTCTTGGAAGGACTTTTTCAAGTCATGAAGAAAACTACGATCATCATCATGGGGGTATTGGTTTAGCATTTTAGTGAAGAAACTCTTCCAGAGCTCAATGTTCCAGTAACTGTTTTTTCCAACAAGAAAAATATCAGAATGAGAAAGGAAGTTAAAGATAAAAGTAAGAGGGAAAAGCACTTTTGTTGTGGCATTAAATTTTCCAAATTAACTTTAGTATCCAGGAAACTAGAAAGATGCAAGTTTCATATAACGACCCCCTTATAAAAAAATAGTTGTGATAAAAGTGATAATTGCATACATGACACAAGGAATATACCGTTTAAAGGGTAGTCTGGGAAGATACACGTAGCCCCCATCAGACTGTTCTTTTTTGACGACTTCCATATAGGAACCATGCAACATCACATGAACAATACCGCAAAGGCCATATGCATCTACCTGTTTGCAGGTGATGAAAAAGGGAAACTCAAAAGCAGTAAATAATGAGTTCCGTTGCATTTGTAGTGCAATTTAAGACGTGACTTACCTGAAATTTCCACGGCTTCTTCTCTAGCATCTCAATGCAGCGAAAACCAGAAGTTCTGCAATCACCCGTAAATACCGTGTGATCTGGAAAGAGTTGCAGATCAATCCCTCTTCCCCAGTCCACAAGGCAAACACCCTACAATATAGAACAATACGTCCTGTCGATTTATGAAACCAACGAAAAGAAGTTGTCCATTGCATAGCGAATTGAGTTAAACAGAAAAAATGTCAATAAAAAGGCTATCAACCTTTGGCAAAGCATTGACTTAAGGATAAGGTTCCACACACAAGCTCCACCAGTCTTTTTCAAGACATTTAAATAGAAGCTCTCTCAAGCATCTAAATAGAAGCTCTCTCATGCAGAAACGACTAGTGATGCTAAGTGATTCTATGTGAAATTAAGTGTTTTGCAAGCAATAGTATAGTAAAGCCTCCGTAAGCGCAAGATAAATACACCAGAGTGACCTTTAATTGTAAAAATTTCACTTTGTAACCTCTAACAAGGAGTGTTCATAGTTTATATCCTCTCTTCAGAGAGTTTTCCTTGTAACCTTTGTTATTGTAGCCAAGAGTGGTAGTAATAAAATATGCAGGACACACAAAAGCGGTTTAATGTTAAAAAATACTTGTTCTTTATCTTAGGAGATAGATAAATAGTTAGGAGTGGCTTTGTATATTTGGTGTAAACCAGAAGTTACAATGATAAACTTGTAATCAAGCTTTAATTAATGAAACCTTTTTACATGTTGTAAAGGAAAACAAGATACAACCCAGTTTCAAGTTGAACCAGTATAAAACTTGTATTTTATTGTTTCGTCTATTATTACTCTTGTACCAATTGTCGGCTATCGTTTTCAAGCTTTGCAAAAACCCTCTTGAAACGTTTTCCATCTATTTTATGATCAACCCCAAAGTCTGTAATCATCATCCTATTGCAAAAATGTTTCAAAGCATTTTTAAAAGTTCTATTCAATACCCCTTTCTAGAGCTAACATGTTACTTCAATTGTATTCATCCAGATAAAAACTAACCTCATCACACCAAGGACCACTTCGGTTCAAGAACCCATCTTCAGTAAGGTCACTCCTGAAAAATTGTTAGAAATGTAATTAGACCCATCCATAAAAGCAAATCATGTAACCAACTTGAGACAACGCGCGGTTACTAGAGCCTGCATTGCACATCGTACAATGCTAATCAAATAAAAGACTTCCAAAAAATTGCAACCAAGTCTTGTCATGAAATGTGGCAAACATGTTTATCAGATTATATTGATGATGCTTTCAATTTTCCTCCGGTAGATGATGCTTGGGTAATACCTAAAATCCTTAGATCCAAGGGTATAAAATAACAAGGACGCAAATAATGATTCGAAAACCCCCCCTCCTTTAGATACATCAATCGTACCATCATAAATTAAGAATTGAGAAACAACTTTAAGATTACATTCTTTCAAGGTACAAACAAACAAATGAATGAAGGAAATGTAGAAATGGATAATTTGGAAAGAATGAAAAAGTTTTGAAGTATTAGAATACTGATTGTACAAACATGAGGTTTGTGAAAAGAAGTAACGTCAGCATGAACTGTGCATAAGCTGCTTAAATTTACCTAGCATATCGAATTAGCAGATTATCAGGCTTGAAATCACCATGAATCAAGCCAACACCATGCAAAGTTTCAACCATGTGTAACATTTCAATAGTGTAGTAAATGCATAACACTTCTTCCATGGATTTTCCTAAGACCAGATATGAGTTCACCACATCCTGCATAGTATTTTCAGTTGAAGATTAATACCAAATGACATTGAAGTAAATAAGGAAAATCACAGGAAATAAATGACGGACCTGTAGTGTCCCATTAGCTAAATAGTCACATATGAGTATACTAGAGTCAGAATAGATATGAATTCCGTGAGCGAACCCATAACTTGACCTCTGATAAAGCAAAAGTCAGAATTATCAGATGCTCATAGAAATAGTGGGTCAATAGTATAGTTGACAACAACACACCTCTCTGTCTAAGATGCGCCGATCAAGCTGACGATAAATGTAAAATTCCCACGGGAAAGCTGGTTTTTGTATCTGCCATTTAAGGGTTAATGGTTCAAAATACGTCTAAATTCTAATGAGACAATGGGTCTTCAATTGGGAGAAAAATTATTTGAAAGGTCATCATCACCTTTAGAGCAACAACATTGTCAGGATCACTGTTGACATTAGCCTTATATACTTGGGCAAAACCACCCTGTCCAGCACATCCCTTTATAAGGTACTTCATTCCACCTGTAATGTCATGATAAGGACAAAGGAGTAATTGTGCTGTTAGTAAATTAAATTGAAGCTCGCATATGAAGAACCAGCTTATAGAAAAATAAGTAAGACTCTAGTATAAACCATTTTGACACATTTATCCACGCACACACACTTATGTATACACAGAGACACGCTCGCGCCAATTATTTGGTGATTGTTTTGCTCGACATTAATAGGAACTAAATTGATTTTTTATTCATCTTTCCAGGACAATAACAGTGACTTTTACTTTTTAGGAACAAATGTCACCTGACTCCAAGTTTTCCAAGAACCAAAATTTTGTTTTATTCTCAGATTTCAGATAATAAATACGATAGGACTAACAGTAAACAACCTATCTCAATAACTTTATTCCTTGATGAATTCTTCAACGCAGATAAGGCCACTTTTCCTGAGTATGGTTTAGCGCTTGAACGGTACCCCTGAAAGCGTCTTGAAGGAAGCATAAGGGAACTGAATCTTTGTCACATGTGTTAAATCAAGGCGAATAGATATCAAAGGGTTAAACATCTCACATCAAATTTCATAAGTAAAGGATGTATCTTCTTTAACAGGCTATCCATGGTGGAAGTGTCCCAAGGATTAATGCCACAATTTTCCAGTTTCATGGATTCTATATCATCAACCTGAACTCATACATAATATAACAACCCTTGAATTAGTAATTAGAAATCTCAAAATTGAACTGAAAATTTTGTTTTTTAATTGTGAGAGATTGTTCCAATATGGTACCTTCAGGTTTGAAGCAGCATTCTGTATTTCAGACATTCTATTGAGAAACAAGGAATGCGCCTTCCTCAACCACTCAACTGGCTTCGCATTCCTATCAAAGATAGACCCAAACAGTAAATCGAAATTACATTATTATTCAACTTGCAATATCAACAAAACCAACCTGCCAATCCCAAGCTGATAGATGGAGAGAGCATCACGCAATCTTCCCTTCAACTCAAATAAACTTGCAGACCAAACATAAAGTGAAGAATTATTGGCACATACATTACTGTCCACCATTTCTTTGAAAACACTGGCAAAATCATCACTAACTCCCATCTGCACAAAGAAACCAACATAACCAAGATGAACCCTTCCAAAAGTTCCTCAAAAGTAACAACAATTCCACGTCAAATCCTAGCTCTTAAACCATTATAAACTTCCAACAATATAAATGAACTCCCCAATTACTACATGGGCGCAACCACAAGTTACTATCTTAGTTGCAAATTGCAATACTAGTTAGATTAATGCATTAAGATCCATTCAGACAAAACTTATATGCGAACATGTTAAAATAAACTTATAAAATAAGAAAATAGAAAATGTGTGTAAATCAACTTAGGCTCTATTTAAATAAAGTTGTCCCCAAACAGTTATAACATAAGAAAATAAAATGAAAGAAATGTCTCCTAAAAATTGAAATTGGTTTATGAAAAAGCTAGTTTCTAGAATCTTTTTACTTAACTACTCGTCCAAAATTTATTTTAATTTTTTGATGCTTAACTTTATCTTAGATAAGAAACTTAATTCATTTTATTTTCTGCTGTGTTACTAAAGTACTTATTCCAGAATTTATCCAAAGTGAATATTGTTGAGTTTCAATCTTCAGAGAAGAAGTTCTTTCATCTCAAATATGTTTGTTTAAACTATTTTTCAGAGAAGACTAATATTTTAATGAAATAATAACTTGCTAGAAATTTTTACACCTTTAGGTAAACTATTTAAGAAAGCAGAAACAGAATCTACAATATTCAGAGAACAGGTTTTTTTTTTCTGCTTTTATTTACAATATCATTATTTTTAAGCACAAACAACCCAAAATCTACCAAATCTAAAGTACACAAGTTGAGAGAAAAAATGTAACTTACTTTGCTTCTTATATTCTGCTTTTATGCAAGTTTTTGTTCATAAATTGATCTAAATAAAGCCTAGGACACTGCAATTAACTAGGTTAATTACTGTTGCTTGTTGAATTGTTAAATCTGTGTGCACTATAACCTAGATCGAAGAACTATTTTTCTCAGAGAGAGGGAATTACATAGATGAGCCAGATTTTGAGGAATCTGACGTCGTTCCGATACCGGTCATTGTTCTTGAAGTTTCTGATGCAATCTCCGAGTAAGTTACTGAGGTTTGGAGTGGAATCACCCGAAGCTTCTAGGGCTTTCTTGATAGACCTGAATTCTCAAAAAAAAAAATACACATTAAATTAATGAGATTGTGGAACTTTGGGTCAGCAAAGAGTTCCAGAGAGAAAGGGATGAACCAAAGAAAGGGTACGAGAGGATCCTCAGGTGAATTAACCGCAATTGTGAAACCAGGTGAATGGCTGAGCGCGGTGGTGATCATGGAGTTGAACCTTGAATTCACTCAGAACCTGATTACTGAGAGTAGAAGCGGGCGGGAGCAGCACAAATTTGAATTTACATGCTTTTTTATAATTAAAAAAAGTTTGGAGGTCTCCCTGTAATTTTTTTTCACTGAAAACAACCCAATGTTAAGAGAATAATAATCAAATAGAACTTCTGAGTTAGGAAAAATATTTAGTTAAGTATATATTTTGCGTTTATATAAAAAATAACAACATTTACAAAAATTTTAATTTTATTGCTTTAATTTTAATTTCATTAACGAATAATTAGACGTATATTTAACTTTTAATAACAATTACCTGTCTTTATCATAAAAAATTAACCCTAATAATTAATCTTGAATTTTTTATTTATATATTTTAGGTTTAAATAATAATTAATTATCTATTTTTATTGAATTTATTTAATTTAATCTCTTTTTTTTCAAACAAATTGATGTCAAAATTTATCAATTTAGTTATTTTTAATAATTTCACTTAAATATATTTAGGGTAATGATATGTTGACATTTTTTTTACAACTTTTTGACACTAACACATGTCAAAAATCATTTGTGTATAAGTTTTAATATGCATTTTCATTCCTAATTCTACCGTTTTATCGTGTTGAAGTTTCGTCTTTCTTTGGTTATGAGTTTTGGTCTTTGTCTTTTGGTATAGGTTTTAGGTTCCTTTTTGTTTTATGCTTTTCATTTATATTTACCTTTAAACAATGACTCATGATACAAATAATAACACATATAAACGTAATCAACAAACATGTCTTTACAATAATTAAAATAAGAACACAATAATAGCATACACATGTGTTAAAAAAAAGTATTACAATGTAATCAACAAATATAACCTACATTGATAGTGAAGAAAAAAAAACTCTTTGCTTTAACACCAAAATCCTCTAGTAATCGATTACAACCCTGCTGTAATTGATTACCAGAGAGTTTTTGCCCATTTACACTATTGGTAATCGATTATAATCCTTATGTAATCGATAACCAGAGAATTTTTGTCCATTTACACGGTTGGTAATCGATAACCAGTGAGTTTTTGCTTATATAAGGTGAAGTCGTGCCCCTTGTAACCAATTACAAGGCCTGATAATCGATTATGAGACCCTAAAATCGTTTTTGAGTACACGATTTCACCGCTGAACATTGTGTTAGGGTGAAGTCGCACGACTTCTTCATTAAAGTTGTTTGGGGTCCCCACAACTTGCCTAAAACCGTAAAATTAAACTTTTTTTTGCCTAATTGAATAAAATCCTATTACAAATTGTGTATTTACCTAAAAAACCTGTTCTTTTATTTACACGTGATTTATTTAATTTTCACAAAATCTATTATAAAGGACAAATTAAATTTGTTTCATTAATCTTAAATAAAGAGATAAAATGTGTTTACATTTTAAATAATGTAAAATTTAAAAATAATAAAATGTTTAGTAAAATGTTGAATTATAATTTTTTTTTTATTTTAAGGAGATTCTTTCAATGCTAAAGGTCATTTGACAATTCTAATACATAACTCTATAATAACGTTTTTAAAAATATTATTGGTGAAATTTGTCAAATTAAAATTTGGTGACAAAATCTAAAAAATTATGAAACATTAGCAATTAAATATGTGATTCTAAACCAAATAAGTAAATAAATGCTTTTACCTAAAATTGAAAAAAATAAAAATAAACATTTTAAAAAAATATGTTAAACAAAAATTATTATCATACTGTTAACAAAAGAATGGATAAAGATTCTTTGACACACTTAAATATTTTACATTCATTTGACACTTTTTTGACCATTTTATTCTTATAGCATGTGTCAGATGAATGTAAAAGTGTGTCATGATATCGTTACTCTTAAAAAATATATTATTTTGATGTACATAATCTTTTTCAATTTTACTATTTTAATAAATAATTTTTTAAATTTAAATAATTATTTATAATCAACAATTATTTTTCAACTTTACCCCTTTAATAACTATTATTTTTAAAACTAAAAATAATTATTCATAATAAACAAACCATTCACACAATAAAAATATTTATTTTTATAATTATTTCATTTAAATTATTTTATAATTTATTGATATTTTTCACTTTAAAAATTAAAAATAATTTTATAATTCAATAAAATATTTGCTATAATAAAAGAATAATACAGATTACAGTTTTAACTAATTGCCTATATAATTTTAATAGCGAAAGAAATTAACACAAATAATTTTGCCAATGTGCTCATAAAATCAAATGATACGCAACTATCATTTTAATAAAGTAGTTTTAAACTACTTGAATTTTTTTTAAATAAAACTCTAAACTATATTTTTAGCTAATTCCTTAATAGTATAATTTTCTAAATTAAGTCCCTAAAAAATTTAAAATAGTTTTAAATTATATTTTTTATCACAATTTCAAACCCCATAAACTATATCTAATTCCAAAAACTTTAATTTAGAGATATAATTATTACTTTTAATTTACAGATGTTATTTTCTTAAAAAATAATTCAAGAGCCAAATAAAAATAATAACCCTAATTTATGTTAATTTGGACCGTAATTGGGATTTTCCAAATCCATTGGTCATACTCAAAACGACTGAGCCTGGCTCACGCACCAGTTCCCCGCTCAAAACCTCCAAACGAAAACCCTTATTCACTCTTCTCATTCCAAATCTTAATCCAATTTTCTTATTCAATAATTATCTTCTCTCTTATATGTGCGCTCCTTCGCATCGCTAACTGAGGGAGAGAGTGTTGAGTGAAAGCAACTGAGAAGGAAAAAGTGTTTAGAAAACATCGTCAAGTATAGCGGTAACAATGCACAAATTCTTCTTATATCCCTTTCCTTCTGGTTTTTGTCTTAATTACCAGTTATAGTTATATTCTTTATTCGTGCCTATTTCATGATTAAAATGCCATACGAGCCTTTCTGTTTTTTGATGAAAATTTTGAACAATGCGCTTGGATATATGAATAGGGTTGACTTTGTGAGTTGTGTTTTTCTTCTTCTGAGATCCTATGTATTTGATGAAAATTGCCAAACTGTAGATCACCAGTGTGATACAACAATAAATGAAATTAGTGTGTTTGGAAAATCATCCAACGGACGTTTATACTAAGAATGACGTCAATTTCTTTGTTATACGCTGAATCGATTCTTGGTGGCTTCTTATGTCCGACAAAATTTTGAGGTTGAAGGGGGAGGGGGTAGATTAAGTTAAGTACTTGTTGTTTATTTAGTTTAATTTGAATATTTTACTACCACAATCTGTTTGATGAATTGTCTATGTAAGACCAGATAATTTGTACCATTCTAGGTATAAATTAACTATTGAAATATTATTTATTAATAAGTTATTTTCAGAAGTTGGTTAATTTGTTAGAGTTTATGGTGGAATGTATGAGTTTTACATAGCGTGAAATAGTATTTGTTGTATTAAAAATGAAAATATGTGTAAAATGTGAAATAAGAATAACTTAAAAAGGTATTAATTGGCAATAATGTCAGTAAAAATAAGTTGGTAAGTTGGCGTGGTAGTAAGGTGTGTATATGGTGTAAGTGACCAAGAGGCCAGGGGCTCGAATCTTACTGAAGCTAAAGCAATCTTCTGCTTGGCGGGTATAAACCTTCTTCATTTGTATGTATGTATTGATCAAGCTTGCAAGTTATTTTGAGAAGATAATTATAGGGATTATACGAGACAGGATATATATATTTCTATGATGTTATAATTTGGTTCGCTGTTTTGGGTATTATTGTATTTGATCACTACCTTACTGAAATGGGCATTGTAAATTTATACTCTATATGTTCGCCTAGGATTTTGAGGCAGAAGTACACTCCCAATTGAATGAAAACCTGTGAACAGAATATTGGTAATTAAAGAATCTGAAAAATGTATAAACTGATACGTGAGTGGTGCCCTGTTACCGTAAGGGTGGATTGATAAAAAGGACTTCTGTGTTGGTTTACAATGTCTTACTATAAGCTTGATTTAACTGTATTTGGCTGTCGGATCCTGTAAAATGCTGTGAATTCACGTACTGCTATGTGCAATACTGTTTTAGTTTCGGTTTAAGCTAATTAAGTCTTCTGGAATTATGGATTGCTGTTAGTTGAGTTTAGTTGACTTGGGAATGTGTTTAAAAGTAAATTAAACTCTATTTGACCTGACAATGGTTGTTGGGGGTTATGACTTGCTGTTGTTCACCCTAAAAGTTGCTATTGGGATAATTCTACTGTTGTATGATCACTATTAACACTTCTGATTGCTGTTGGGCTGTGAAAGCATGCATTGATATGCTTAGGGTGTTTATGGGCACTGTTTTAAGCGGTATATGTAATATGATGTTCTCAGATGCATTGGTTGCAATTATAGGGTCTTGTTTGATGATATTTAACGTTGGTTGGGTTGTCTAAAATCTTTACGGGTTCTGAACTAGAGGGTACCAGTTTTAAGTAGTGTCTGTGGCTGTTAGCATTGGAAATGGGTGCTGGGAATGGATGACTATTACGGTTATAGGACAGAACCTACAAACTATTAGGTGTAACAGTGTTTCTTGGTTTATTTTCTCTGTTTGTGCTTCTGATTTGGTGATGACATTCAATGTATGACGATCCCTTACTCTCTGAGTAATTACATGCACTGGATTAAGGAATTGGGGTGCAGGTTGGCGTGACTTTTGTGGTTACTGTTTTGTAAATTAAGATTAAACATCTTGTCTAATGTGCTATATGTTTTAGTTTTTATTATGTGTTAAATTGTGATCTGGTTGTGAGCAAAGAATTATATTTTTGAGGCAAAGAATTATATTTTTGAGGCAAAGAGCTATACTTTTTGTCACCCATATTTGTTTTAATATGAATTATATTTTTTGTAGGCAAATAATTTTAAGGATTTATGTATTGGTTTACAATTGAATTTTTATAGTTGGTTTTGTAAATATTAATTAACATTGGGATTTATTAGATGTATTCTATTTATGTTTTTTGAGGATTTTTATAATGTTGCAAAAAGTTTTTAAGTTTTAAGACGTTTTAGTGACTCAAAAAAATTGGGTTGTGTCTACACCAAAATTTTGCTCCTTCTAGTGGCGTGAATAATAAAGTTTGCTTTTTTATTTGTTTGGTTGATGCAATTTGAAGCCTTCAAAAGTAGTTGGGATCTTATTGTGTTTTCACATGCTTGCATTTATCTGATCAAAATGCTAACAAAACATGTGCAGTAAATGTCTGAGATAAATCAGACCAATGCGCAAACTATTTAGTAAAGATAGGGGTGAGCAATCAAAAATGCCAAACCAATCCGTAGATTTTTTTAATTTTTTATCTATTAATCAATGCATTTGGGATAGAAAAAGAGTAATTCTAAATCCTTGTACAACATTTTTCCACTAATCCTCCTACTTAGCAAACAAAAGTGCTGGATATATTTTTCTCATGTTGTAAGGTATTAGCATGTAGTTTCTTTAATAAGTATCACTGGTTAATAGGCTATAACATTACTCAATAATAAAATTATTTTTTAATTTAATTTCTTCTTACCACAGAAAAACAAAACCCATACCAGGTAGCATTCTCTAGTTCCAGGAATTTGGCTAACATTGAAACCCTAATGAGAGAAATATAATAGATATTTCTTAATGTTAATGGCGATTATCTGATTGTGCAGATATAGACGATGGAGTTCTGCCCTACATGTGGTAACATGCTGCAGTTTGAATTGCCCTATTTGGATCGGCCTGCAAGATTTTTTTGTTCTGCTTGTCCATATGTTTGCCACGTCAACAATAGGGTAGGAATTAACTTTCCCCATTTCGTGCTTCCTTAATATATTTTTAGTTGCTTGTGCGTGGTTTTTATGGTTTCACCTCACAGGTCAAGATCAAAAGAAAGCAAAGGTTGGTGAAAAAAGAAATAGAGCCTATAATCTCCCCAGATGACATGAAGAATGCTCCAAAAACTGAGGGTACATTCCCTTTCTTTCTTATTTAAATAGACATTATCTTTGAAGAATTATAGTTTAGGATGTTCCATAAATGTATTCAGAATTCACCATATATTAAGCACTGTGATGAATAACTAACAATCTTTTTGAATGTTTCTATCTTTGGAGCACAAATACTCAAGTTTTAATAAATTATCGATGTCTGGCACTTTTATCAATGTCCTGCACTTATATGATATCGAAGGGCATATGGTACTTAGAGCAAGAAGATAAGTGTTTCAGGATGAAGTCAGAACTTTTTATAAGTTCTAGTCTTTCGCACATATTATTGCAGAAGGATTAGGTTGTAGCACATATTTTATTGCTTACTATAGCTGCTCTGGTGCTTCTGTTGGACCCTGGTCTCCCATATCCTGGTTCCCACGGTTCATGTTACTAGGCCTAGAACCTCACTTCTCGTCACTCCTGGGTCTTGCTCACACATTTTATGTTCAATAGCTCTTGATTCTGTTGCATATTTTTTGAATCTTCTCTCTCTTGCAACTTTCTTTCCCCCTTTGTGTTGTGCCTTTGGCAATGACTGTTTGTTGCCATGTTGAATAAAAGCAAAGAAAATGGTTAGAAAATGGGGTAGAAGGCTCTAATATCCTGGTATAATTCTAGATTTAGTAAATTTGCTTCTTTGGAAGCTGAAGACGATTCTGCTCCATTGTGTTCATGGTTAAGTTATCCTACCAATTGTGTGAACAAGTCATTGATCACCAGAGATGAAGTGATTTGTTAGTAATTCCAATATAGTTTAGCTTTGAATACAAATTTGGGAATAGTATGTGAGAAATGCTAGCAACACTCTTTCTAACCCTCTCTATTATAAGCTGTAATTTATTGTAAATTGTTTGCTAGTTTTCTTCCCATTTAATAAGTCTCACTTCTAACTTAGAAGTGGAATAACCAAAGTTATGATTTCTTATAAATTTTATCCAATATTAGAAAGAGTGTTGCATTCCTGATACTGCTTGTATTTTGGGAGGCCAAGCCATGGTTCAATGGTTAAGGGTGATGCTGCAAGTTGTGGATTAAAATCCTGGAAGCAACCTCTTTGTTTAAGGGAAAAAACTAAGCATATTTACCCTTTCCACTCCAAATCCCAGTTGGCTAGAGACTTGTGCATTGGGTCTCTGATATAGGCCCTTTCTCGTGGTGAATCTCGTACAAATATAAAAGGGATAAGAATCACAAATAAATGTGATTTAGCATGACACTCTCACAAAACAATGCAATAATGTTAAAATTTGGTTTTAGGAAGTATGGGAAGTTGAAATTTTGTTCTGGTTCAATTTGAAACTCGAACATGAATTGAACTAAATCTTAATCTCAAGTGATTCACGACATTGTTGAATGATACCTGTAACACTTATTGTGTTTGGTTGTGTCAATATTGTAGTTTGGCTTGTCGTTCATCATACACTTCCATTTTGATTTCTCTTATATTTTTAGTTGGTACAAAGTTTAAGAATTTTTGTAATTTTTTGGTTATGAATAATAAGTTATCCCCTTGGTGGAAAAACATATAATTGACTGATTGGTAAAATCATAAATTGGAATACAATAGTCATAATGACCAAACTCATTCATCCAAAAAAAAGAGATTATTCTTTCCAGTGTCGTATGAAGATATTTTTCAGGGATAATGACTGATATTAAAAATGGAATCATGACTAATTATGTCATATTTGTTTCTTTTTTTGTCCTTATCAATTCCTTGTTCTTTTTTTCCCTTTTTCTCACTCATTTCCTTTTGTTGTAGCGACATGCCCATATTGCGGTCATGGCGAAGCTGCTTTCAAAGAATTTCAGACTAGATCTGCTGATGAGCCAGCAACTCTATTTTATTGTTGCTTGAATGATAAATGTCAAAAACAATGGCGCGAAGATTGATTTCAACCTTGTCCTATATATTTTTTCTTGTCCAAGGATAGAAAAGCTTTTGAAGTTGATTATAATTGGGCTTATATTACAGCCAAGTGGTTTTGAATCATTTTAAAAATTGACAAATGAAGAAGTGCTACGTATCTTAGTTATTGCTATTATTATGATCATAGTCATGAAGGTTTGTTTTCAGGATTGCAAAAGTGAGATAGAAAAATTCCTCATGCATTTCATATAAAATATTTGAAATTGCCAGATAACTTGAAGTTAACATAAATATTTTGTTATTCACTGTTGTATTATGCTTGGTATTTTGTATAATTTTTAAATTTGATTTTTGTATTTTGGATCCACATGGCTTATGTTTTTAAATATTTTCGCATAAAATGTAATGGAAATGTCGAATTTTATATAATAGGAATTGGTTCAGGAAAAATTTGACCGAACGAAACAATTTGGTTATAGCAATAAACTCCCAAAATTCAACACGAGTAAAGACTTTTTATATAATCTAATTTTTTTATGGTACATTAACGATACCAAGTAACTCTTTCTAAAAGTAACCTACAGTGTATGTACGTTAATACAAAATCTATCTTTTTAAAAATAACATTGTATAAAGGATAAAAGACATTATGAAAAACTGAAGATATTAATTTATTCAATATGAAAAAAATCATAGAAAACTACAATATGTACAGTTTAACTTATATCTAAGCATGGTTTTAGTAGTTCAAAAATTTCAATTTTTAAAATTCGTCATCATCAATGAAGAGGAAATAATGACTTTAGAAGGCTTATTGGTACGAGAGAATTTTTTTCATACAATGAAATCATAATTTATAGGAAATCGCAAATCCGTAGGAAAGATTAAAGGTTAAGACAAGCTAACTCGGAATGAAGGTCTAAACGAGTTGGTCTGGGTCGAACATTGACATAAGCGGGTAGGGGCTAATGGTCGAAACGAGCGACTCATGCCAAAAGTTAAGATGAGCCAACTGGGTAGAACGTTGACACAAGCAAGCCCATACCATAGGTAAACAAGTCGATCAAGTAAAATGTTGGGACATGTTGCTCCACACCAAAGATTGAGACGGGTCTACCCTAATTGATGGTTGAAACAAGTCGATCAACACCAAAGGTTAAAACGGGCCGGCTTAGGTAGGATGATGATATGGATTTTAGCACGACATGACAAGTGCACCAGTTGCACATAACAAGCATTTTATCCTTCTCTTAGAAGGACTTGTGCAACAAATGACAACTCTTGCAATCCATAACCTATTTAGATTACAAGTTCACAATAACATCAAAAAACTTTTTTTTGTATTTTTATCAAACAATTATTGTGCAACAAAAATTCACATAAAGTATGTACAATTTTCAAGGTTAAGTTTCAACAACTTCCTTTTCATGTGTTGATAGGGGGAGTTATATCTAGCAAAACCCATCTCATATATGTGTTTTTGATGATGAACAAAAGAAATATTTTATAGTTTCTTGTACAACAAATGACAAAACAATTGATTGATCATTATTGTGTTTGTTCTTGAAATGATTGGTATATGAATTCATTGTATGGAAATGAATCATAAGTTGAAACATATTGCACATTGTATATCTGGAAGAAATAATGATTAAACAATTTATATAATCTGTTAAATTTCTTCATATTTCAGTTCATGCTTAACAGGGGCAAAACAACTATGTTTTAACTAATTACATTAGTTGTATAATCGATTAAAACAAGTTGTTATGCCAACATGTGTTTGCTGATTGCATTGATGTGTTAAGAAAGGAAAATGATTTTGAAATTTGCTTAAGTATGGAACTTAACCGATTACATAAGTTTCATAATCGGTTAGAGTGTTTATCTTGTGAAAATCATTTTCATTAAAAGCTATAACTTCCTATAACGATCATATTTTTTTGTTGTTGGCTTGTATGATTTATCTAATCGATTCCATGTGTCGTTTAATCTGTTGAATCTGAAACAGATGTAAAACTGCTAAAGCAGAAGAAAAAACTTAACAAATTACATTATGTACTTGATCGATTAAACTACATCATTGTGAGAAAATTCTATAAATAGACGTGTTGTGCGTTGCTTCAATACGAATTCATGCACTTACACTTTCATAACTGACTTGTTTGTTAAGTATTGATTGCAAGAGCGTCCTAGGCTTCTTGGAGAATCAAGATTACTCATTTGGAAAGAAATTCATCAAGATTCTTGCAAGATAACTGTTCTTACACATTGTTGACCATATTCTGTACTTGAGGTGTATACTTTGAGGATCATTGTCTTCACTACAATCAAGAAGATTATGTTTCCTATTGTTGTGAGCCAGAATGAGAACCGGTGTGTTCTTCATTTAGAGATGGGATTGCTCTAAAGGTTATAGAAAGTTGGAATTGCTTTCTAGGTTGTACTATAGGTGATATTGAATTAGGGAAGGAGAGTGCATTGAGAGCGGAGTTCTCTGTGTTCTTGCTTGTATAACTCTATCATTATAGTGGTTCCCTTCAACTAAGGTTGTTGAAGAAAGACTAGATATAGGCTTGGCCGAACCAATATAAATATTTGTGTTGATCTTTCTATCCCTTCTCTTTTATTGTTTTTCATATACTTGTTATATTGCATTCCAAGAAACCTTAAAGATTTTGAAAACTTTTGAAAAGAACAATTTTTTAAAGGGTTAACCAATTCACCCCCCCCCCCCATCTTGGTTGAGATACAAGGCATCACTTTTTCTACATCATGTATCCTCAATTATCTCAATTCAAAATTCAAGTTAAAATCAATTCAGAAATATACTAAAATTTAATCCTGACTGACTTTGAGTTTATGATAACTCATGAAGTTCGAATTCCTCCAATCCTCAACAAGTGAAATCATACATTAAATTCAATAATCTTAAGATTATGAATGAATCATGTTTTATCCTTAGATATAAGCTTCATTAGGTACTTAGTTTCAACTCTAGGTTCAAAAAACATTTTCCAACACTTCCAGAATCAACAATCATGTTATGGGTGATCAAGTCACGAAAAATATTAAGCATAAAAATCAAATATTAACATTGAAATGGAAAAATGTATATATTAACAGCACAAATTACACAAGTATTCATTTATTAGTTTTCCACGGTGGAGAACCTAGGTCGTACAAATTGAAGATATAAAGAAGAAATTGTAACAAAAGAGAAGAACAACGCCCTATCCCATGGAACCTAACAGTTGCTACAAGCTCCAATTGCACGCCCCATTCGCATCCACATCTATAGTATGGAAATCTCTCCCTTTAACAACCTCCAAGAGCGTCTCTCAGTCACATAAGGTGAAGAAAAAGTGTGGGATTGAAAGAATAAGCCAAACCTTAGCGAAAGATATGATTAAATACTTATTTGAAATGTTAGCAATGCCATTGCCCGACAACATCTCAGTACCATTGGGCACCATCAATTAAAATTCGAAACGGGCAGCCTTTGCCCAACGCTTGAGCACCACTGAATGTTGGTAGCCATCGCCTAACGCCGATGAACCATTGCCTAACGTCCTTGCTTTTAGTAGCTTCTTGCCCAACGAGCTTTTGTGTCTCACAACAAGAGGTGCCTTGCAACCGAGTTCTTTTTTTGTGACTTTACAATGTTAGGCATGGTTCTTGTGGCACTATTGATAAGCTTTTTAGTCACCTCAAAGCCAACAAAACCTACTCCCCACTAATGTAGTATAAGGCTGACTAAGGAATCAATTCAAGGACTTGGTACTTATTAAGAATAGAATTGTAGCCTAATTATTTATTTACTAAAAACTAAAACTAGGTGAGGAAAATAAAATGTAAAATGAAATCTAATATGGTAAAAACTAATTAATGATG